CGCCTGACTAAACCGCGGTGACTAAAGCGCGGTGACAAAACTGCGCGACGAATGAGCGACAAATTAGCCCTAAAGCGCGCCGACAAAAGCGCGCCGACAGAAGCGCGCTGTAACGTAACCCTAAACCTAACCCTAAACCTAAACCTAACCCTAAACCTAACCGTAAAACTTACCTTAAATTAAATCGCGCTGTTGTCGGCGCGCTGTTGTCGGCGCGCTTTTGACATCGCGGTTTTAGCGCCCGGTTTTGTCGGCGCGCTTATGACATTCGCACTTTTGTCGGGTCACGTGAAAGGTCACCACATGAACTGCTGTAAGTTGAGGACTACCTGTACTTATAAGAGTAATAAAGGTAGGATTACAAAAATTCAGTTTTTAAAAAAAAATACATATTTTGACATGAACCCAATCGGAACCTTTTGAATAAGTTTTAACATGTTGTTTGCATGTGGTCACTTTGGCAATGGGAGATTAAATGAGTAAAGAAGCATATCGTAGCATATAGTAAAGAATCAGTTGTTGATTCTAAGTAATTCTCAATGTCCCCATGAATGGAGAATTACTAAAAATTGGTATCCTGCTGTAGAGCAAAAGCCTAATTCCAGGCACTCTGGATTTCTCCCCAGGCGCAGCATGAAAAAATTATTTCTCAGCAACAAGCCGTCATTGTAGCGACCCAATCCGCCCAGGCTCTGCTTGAGAAGCAAGGACACCACCTTTCGCCGGAGGAAAAAGAAAAAATCCAGAAGAACTTAAAGGAGCTGAAGGCGCAGTACGAGACCGTCTTGGCCGAATCCGAACAGAAGCTGAAATTAACACGCTCGCTACAGGAGGAGCTGGAGAAGTTCGAGGCCGATTACGCCGAGTTTGAAAGTTGGCTGCAGCTGGCGGAGCAAGAACTGGAGAACCTGGAAATCGGAGCCTCCGACTTTGGCGGCATCGTCATCAAACTGCAAAGGCAGAAGAGCTTTTCCGAAGATGTCATTTCTCACAAAGGGGATTTGCGGTTTATCACTATCGCCGGACAGAGAGTATTGGACGCTGCTAAGTCCTGCAACAAAATAGAAGGGGCCAGATATGAGAAAGAAGGCATGGATACTTCATCAACGTACATGGAGGTACAGAATAAGCTGGATGGAGCAACTGGTCGCTTCAAGACTCTCTATTCTAAGGTAAATCGGATTGCATAAAAATTTAAAAAAAATATTGCATTGTATCTCGCCTTTCTTCATAGTTTTCCAAGTTTGGCTCTCCCGGTGTTTTTTGTTTTTTTAAATCTCTACAAGTCAGATTGGGCTGAGGGAAAGTGACTAGATATACCGCTAATCCTCAGCAAACCACAATTGGTTTTGGAACTTCCATTGCTGAGCTAGGTGGTCATTAAATACGTTGCGCCTGATTTTATCATCTTTTTTTTTTTTGCCACCGTTTTAAGCAATTCCACTCTGATCATTAAGTGGGTCACGTGGTCACTGTTCTGACCCCCCTCGTTCCACACAAAAACACACTCGAAGCCAGAGATAAATTACGGCATTTAATTAACAGACAAACAGGTCTTTGGCAGCAACCCAGCTTGGGCAGTAATAAACACAGATAAGGCTTGGCAGCAATCCAGCCTGCCAAGCTCATACAAAGTTCTCCGACATTC